CCCATTTTCCAAGAAATCTATTCTACAATTTTTTTTTGCCATATTCATTTTATTAATTTGAATAATATATATATGTGTGTGTGTGTGTGTGTGGCCCATTAAAAAGAAGATAAATTATAACAATACCTTTGAACTAATATTTCCGAGATATCACCGAAATGTTGCCGGAATGCATGTAGTGAAAATGATTTTTTTTTAAGAGATTGATTTTTTTTTAGATGAGTGAATAGAGATGAGAGATGAGAGAAGAGAGAGAGATGAGAGAGATTATTTTTTTTTTTAAAAAAAATGTAGTAAGGGTATCTTTGTCTTTTTAGGTGCCAAAATGGCTAAAAATGAGGTTTTTTTAAAAAGGTGGCCAAAATTTGTGTTTTACAAATGTAAATGGCTAAAAAAAAAATTCACTGAAAAAATTAAATTATAAAAATATGGTGGTTTCGTGTGATTTTTTGAAAACATTAATTTAAGTAAGGATTTTCAAATTTTATCTAAAGAATAATTTACACATTCCCTTTAAATTTAGATTCTTTCCAAATTGTAATAAGTTGTTGAAATTAAATAATTATGGACACCAGTGTGATTTATTATAATTTTTTTTCATCGATTGTATAGGCTGATTTTGTTTAAAAAGATCATTCAATTATGAATTGCAATTTAAAATTTAAAACAAAAATTATCTATATTTTTTTTTACCGTAATTAATTATATATGCTACCAATAGCAATATTAATTATCATATTCATTAAATATTATTATGCATATCCCATAAATAAATATTAAGCATATCCCCCTATATATTAATCCAGAACGCGTTGAGCCTACGTGGTTGCTTCTGGTGCTTCGGAATCCTATGTAGCAAAACTACATGCTTCGTTGTTAGGCTTGGGTAAATTTAATTTAATTCCAAACCAAAAATAATTAGGTTCAGATTACCATAAATATGTTGATTATTTATGGTCATGTTACATGTATTAATTGCATTTTAATAGCATTCCTTATTATAACTATTGAATTGTATATATATTTTAAAGTTAATAACTTTTGTATTTTTTATCAGTTTTACATATGTAATATATCAATTTAATCTTCTTTTGATAAGCTTCGATTTAACATCCATATTGTATGTATAAAAAAAAATAATTTATATTTATCTTTATAACAATAATAAAATTATTTTTAATATTAATTAGAAAAATAAAATTATTTATCAACTAATATATTTATATTTCAAGTAGTTATATGATATAAATTATAAAAACAAATATAATATAACACATGTAAGTCATAAGTAATACATATCATTCTAAAATATATAGTAATATATTTATTTTTGTAAAAAATGTAAACTAAATTTAATATAATTTTCATTAATTTTAAAATTTAAGATAATTTTTTTAACAAGCACCCGTGTAATACACGGGTGTTGTACTAGTTAAATAAATAATGACATTACGCATATGGAAATTTATTATGTAAGAATAAGTTTATGACGTAAAACTTTTTACTTAGTTTCAAATTTTTTGTTAAAGGATGTCACATAATGCAACAAAAATAATTTTTGATTGATAAATTATTTACAAAAACAAATCCAGTAGTATAATATTTCAAAATTCATATGCAAATTATCATTATTCATATAATTACTATTATTATTATTATTATTATTATTATTATTATTATTATTAATATTAGTAGTATTAGTATTATTATTATATATGTAAAATATTTCCTATATTATCTCTACCACTAATATTGTTAATGAAATATAAGATACTCATTTGATTTCTTACAATTATGTTAACA